CCTTTGTCTATTAATGTTTTTATTTCTTTTTTACAAAATTCTAATAAATCAGAATTCATTTGTATTGGTCTAGCTTTTGTTGGAATATTCTTTTCATTGAATTCTTTTTCATATGGTAATTCTATCATATGTTGTTTTCTATCCCAAAAAGCATTAGGAATATCAGCACAAATTTCTTTTTGCAATAATTCTTCTAATTCAGAAATTCTTTTTTGTATTTTAGCTTCTTTGAATTGTTCTTCAATTTTTAAATAAGATTTCTCTTCTTTGATATAGTTTATATGTTGTTGTACTTTAGTAATAGTATTTATTGTTTTATAAATAGAAGATGTTTGTAATATCTGTAATTCTCTTTGTCTTATTGGAGTCAAGAATTTAAAAGTAACAGTTTTTCCCATTATATTTATTGAAATTCCTTCACGGTTTACTGCAAATGGGTATATTTGAATTAAAAAAGGTGTTCCTAATATTATATCATGATTTATATTTTTTACAATTATAAAATTATGTCTAATACAATATTCATTATTACATATTGATCCTTTTGTAAATTTATATTTTACTTGTAAATTTTCTCCATTTGCTGCCATTAATGTTTCATTTGTTCTTTCACAATATTTAGTAGGAATTATTCCTTCTTTAATACAACTTGAATCAGCTTCACTATCTATTAGAGCTACATGTGTTTCTTTGAAATCTTCTACAGTAATAGTTACTAAAGCATACCATTTTTGAAATGTCATTTTTTCTATTGTATTTAAATATTGATCTTCATCCACTGGTTTTTCTGATATAAATATTTCTTCTGTTTTAGAATTAGAAGTTGAGGGTTGATTATCTATTAAGGTTATTTTGGCTTCTATTTCTAAATCTTTTGTTTTTAATTCTATAATCTCTTGTTGTAATTGTTTTATTTGTGTTTTAAGATTATTGATTTCTGTTTGAAGATCTTTAGTTGTTTCTTTTTTCATTATATTTATATTTGGATATTTATCTATTAATTTCGAAATTCTAAAAGGTTCTATTATCTTTGGCATTTTATCTTCTTGGATAATTAAACTTTTTAATCTTTCCAAATATTCTTTTTTAGCTATTGGATCATTAATCTTTTCTATTATGTCTAATAAGAATTCTTTATCTTCTTTTTTAGTTATGACATTTATATATTTTGGATTATTTGAACAGTTACAATCTTCTTCACTTTCTGAAGTACTTATGTCATTATAATAATCGTCTTCTGAACTTTGATCTTTTTTATTTATTAATAAGTTTATTAATTTATTTTTAATCTCTTCTTCTTCTGCACAGATTTCAGTAATTTTTTCTTTTAAATTACATTTATTTGCTTTATGTCCTATTTTCCCACATTTGTAGCAAATAATTTTCTGTTTAATAAATTTTCTTTTCTTTTCCGGTTTATTTCCTTCAGTTCTTTTGTATCTTATTTTCTTATTATTATTTTTTTTAATTTTCTTTTTGTATGCAGAGGGTGATTTAATTCTTTTAATTCCAAATGCATCACAAAATGATCCTACTTCTTTTGTTTTTGAACCATATTTTATTTGTAATTTTAATTCTGAGCATAACATTAATCCTTCTTTTTTCACAAAAGCAAATAATTGTCCAAAAGTAATATTTTCAAATGAAATTACATCTGTTCCCATTTCCTTTTGTAAACTATCCATTATTCTTTGTGAAAATAAGCTTGGTAATCCTGTTATAAATCTTTCTTTCCAAAATGAAGCGTTACAATCTGGCCTTCTTAATACATTAGTTAAAAACATATCTTTATACCATCTAAAATCTGATAATGTTGGACATCTTAAATTCTAATAAAACATTTTTAACAAATTTAAGATGTCCAACATTATCAGATTTTAGATGGTATAAAGATATGTTTTTAACTAATGTATTAAGAAGGCCAGATTGTAACGCTTCATTTTGGAAAGAAAGATTCATAACAGGATTACCAAGCTTATTTTCACAAAGAATAATGGATAGTTTACAAAAGGAAATGGGAACAGATGTAATTTCATTTGAAAATATTACTTTTGGACAATTATTTGCTTTTGTGAAAAAAGAAGGATTAATGTTATGCTCAGAATTAAAATTACAAATAAAATATGGTTCAAAAACAAAAGAAGTAGGATCATTTTGTGATGCATTTGGAATTAAAAGAATTAAATCACCCTCTGCATACACAAAGAAAATTAAAAAATATAATAATAAGAAAATAAGATACAAAAGAACTGAAGGAAATAAACCAGAAAAGAAAAGAAAATTTATTAAACAGAAAATTATTTGCTACAAATGTGGGAAAATAGGACATAAAGCAAATAAATGTAATTTAAAAGAAAAAATTACTGAAATCTGTGCAGAAGAAGAAGAGATTAAAAATAAATTAATAAACTTATTAATAAATAAAAAAGATCAAAGTTCAGAAGACGATTATTATAATGACATAAGTACTTCAGAAAGTGAAGAAGATTGTAACTGTTCAAATAATCCAAACTAGCGGGTCCCACGTCCGATATACCTTCTTAGTTTCTCAAAATCTAACCGATACTAGAAAAATCTTCTAAAAACTATATTTACTCATAAAAATTATTTAGAAAATTTTCTAATAAAGAAAATGTATAAAAGGCATGCAAATAATTAAAATAAGGCCTAGAAATAAGGAAATTTACGGGTTCTCACAAGTTAAAAGAAAAAATCAAAAAACAAAAACAAAAAATGTAAAAAAGGAAAATATGGGAAAAAAATTTGATTCGAAATGGTTCATCTATTTCTAGTCAAACACGATTTTTAATTAGGCCGAATTTTTGTTTGACGGTTTTTTAGGATAAGTCAGATAGGATGTCTACTCAATTTTCGGGTCAATCGGTTAAATCGATCGATCCGATCCGAGTTTCAAAACACAACTTGAAACATGGGAATCGATTGCTAATCCAATTTGAGTACCCCTGCTAGACAGATCTTAACAGAATACTTCATTATTCAAGCTCCATGGACTAGAACTTGCTGAGTCAATTCTATCTTTTTTTGTCTCATTTGAGAAAATGAGGCCTTCCCTTTTCTTGATGGCGTTGATTTGCCAATCATACTAGACTCCACATCCACCTCTAAAGAAAAACGGAGGGTGTAACAATGAGAGGTACCCCGACTATTTTCAAGAACAAATAAGACATGAGCCTAGGGGCGTGCAAGCTCAGAATTTATTGAATAACGACTGATTTCAAAATGAATTTAAAAATTTGAAATCGGTAATTCGAAAATTCGAACAAATGCGGATTCATGTGTTTCAACATAGGTATGAAAGTTGTATTGGTTTCTTGAATCCGGAAATTACTAATCTCGAAATCGAAAAAAGTATTTAAATACATAAATAATACAAATATATACTATACACGAATATCATGTGCAAAATGTATATTAGTCTTATAGACATTCAAGTATATGAGAAAATATGCTACTATGGAAATATATTATTACATTACGTTATAATGCATATTGTACTATATAATAGCAATGTATGTATATCATACATTTTGACTTCAGTAGTACTCAATTCTTATTTTAAAATTGAATCAAAATTGAAATGGTTCAACTCAAAATCGAATTAAGTCAGTATCTCACAAAAGAAGATTATGAAAATTACAAAATTTAATCTACTAAATTCTTGATTATGCTCACTTCTACTGAAATATTGTAATATCTGACCACAATAAGAACATTTATATTCTTTTTATTTTCAACGATGACTACCGTCATTTTACCCAGAAAAAAAAAAATTTATGACTACAGTTAGAGTTTATTTTTCTTTGGACCACTATAACCTTCAATGAATATAGAACCTGAGGATTTTAATTATAAGGGGAAAATGCACTTTTTATTCCTTATTGTTTTGAGTGTTGGACAATTTTATCCCTAAAATTTCAATTAAAACACATTTCATCCCCATAATTTTATAATTTTAATCAATTTCATCCCTAAAATTTCATGCAAACACATTTCATCCTCATAATTTCATAAATTTGACTAATTAAGGATAATTGATGGATTGTCAAGTAATTTGAATTGAATATCATCACTTGACCATAGCATACCAATTAGTAAAATACAAAAAACATTGGGTCAACCAAAACCTCAAAAATTATTTTTTAATTCACTTTCTCATTTGAAAAAATTAAGAAAATTTCACCCACCATTAGTCTCGTCTTAATCACAAATTGAACAAAAAGATTGAGAGGGATTGAAGTCGTGGAGAAGAAACAACCCCATTATGGCCAATTGGAGAAAAATTTCAAACAATCTTGTTACAAACCAATTGGAGAAAAATATTAACGTGAAATAAAGAATTGTTTAGATTGTCATTTATTTGCAAAAATTTTTGTTTGGATTGTGAATTATTAGAGATATTTTTATTGAAGTACTTTTTGTGATGTGATGTATGTGAGATAAAAAGGTAATTGGGAAGATAAAAAGGTGTGTTGGAAATTGTAATGATGATGTAAGCAAATATATTTTGGTAAATAAACCGCAATCCAAACAAACCCTTTGTTTTGTTGCATCATATATATGTTTTTCAAATTGTCTATCTATCTTCCAATCTATTATTTTGTTTCACATATATCATATCATAAATTAAAAAAAATCTCTTATTCAAACACACTCATTATTATTTATATAATTTAATTAGTAACTGAATTAAGTATTAATAATACAATGATTAACCTGACATATTAGTCATGTGATGATATTCGGTCCAAATTGGTTGACAATCATTCAATTGTCCTCAATTGTTCAAATTTATGAAACTATAAGAATGAAATGTATTTGGATGAAGCTTTAATTGATCGAAATTATAAAACTAGAAAAAATGAAATGTATTTTGATCGAAACTTTTGGACTGAAATTATCCAATATCCCAAATATTGGGGATGAAAAGTGCAGTTTTCCCTTAATACAATAGCCATTAAAAAATTGGTGCAATTAGCAGGAAATGAGTTACTAGAACAACAGAGATCAAGAATTCATCTCAGACCAGGAGACGATGAGGACGATGCAGAGAAGAGCTTCTTCCGCCATAATTATTACCATTGCTCAGTCTCAGGAAGCAGCGGCTTCATTAGGAACTACTGCTCCTGCTAGTTGTACTACTCTTGCTTCATTTCTCTCTGCAGTCGCAAACCCTATACCCCAATTAGCTTTTTACTCTGCTAGTAGTAGTAAAATTAGGTCGTCTTCTGGAAAAGCTCTAAAATTTCAATCTGGTTTGAGGAATGATTTTAGTAATATCAACAGTCTTGATGATGCTTTGAGCTTGTACAAGCAGATGGTCCGAATGAGGCCTCTGCCTTCTGTTATTGATTTCACTCAACTGCTGGACCGTATTGTTAAGATGAATAAGCACTATTGTTCCGTTATTCACCTGTTTAGGGACATGTGCGTCAAGGGCATTCCAGTTAATGAGTACACTCTCAATGTTGTGATTAATTGTTACTGCCTCGTGGGTCGAGTGGATTTGGGGTTTTCCATATTGGGTGGCTTCTTCAAACGTGGTCTTGTGCCAGATGTAGTCAGCTTTAGCACTTTACTTAAGGGACTTTTTCGAGAGCATAAGGTTCCTCAGGCACAAGAATTGTTCAAAAAAATAATATACAACAAAGTTTGCGAGCCCAATGAAGTTATGTTTGGAATTGTAATAGATGGCTTGTGTAAGGTGGGAAACACTCAAACTGCCATCGACTTCCTCAGATCAATGGAAAAAGGACGAAGATCTTGTAAACCTGATACAGTTGTGTACAACACTATCATTGACAGCTTGTGCAAGGATAAAATGGTTGATGAAGCTCTTGCACTCTTCCGGGAGATGATTGAAAAGAGCTTACCTGCGGATGTTGTCAGTTATAATTGTTTGATTCAGGGTCTCTGCAGCTTAAGCAGATGGAAGGAGGTTAAAGAGCTCTTCTCTGAGATGAAGGATTATAAAATTGTTCCGAATGTCTTTACTTTTAATATAGTGGTGGATGCACTGTGCAAGGAAGGACAGGCAGAAGATGCTGAAGAGGTAGTCAGCATCATGATTCAGCAAGGTCAGACTCCCAATCTGGTCACATACAATTCCTTAATGGATGGATACTGTTTACATTGCCGAATAGATGAAGCAGGGAGAATCTTTAATACCATGGTTACTAGTGGCCTTACTCCTGATCTCCATAGCTATGCTATTCTGATAAATGCCTATTTCAAGAACAAGGAAGTGGAAGAAGCCATGAATCTCTTTCGAGAACTTCAACACAAAGGTTTAACACCTAATATTGTTGTTTATAACACTGTCCTGCAGGGGTTATTTAGTGCAGGAAGGTATCTCAGTGCAAGAGAAGTTTTTGATGAGATGCAAGCTGCTGGCCTAAATCCTAATTTTTTCACTTACTGCATCATGTTGGATGGGTTGTGCAAGACTGGAAATGTCGATGAAGCTTTGCAGTTATTCCATTCAATGGAAGTTGATGGAGTAGATCTTCATGTACAAATGTACGGTATCATCCTTAATGGGTTGTGCAAAAGTAGAAGGCTCGATAGTGCTCGAGATCTTTTCAACAGTCTCTGCCTTAAAGGATTGGATCCTGATGTCAGAACATACACCATCATGATTGCTGGCTTGCTTTCAGAAGGTCTGCTCATCGAAGCCAAAGAGCTTGTTGAAAAAATGGAAGAGAAGGGTTGCTTGGCAGATGGTGCTACATACAATGTTATTCTGCAAGGACTCCTCAAGGGAGGTCATTATGACGATGCAATGGTCTGTTATGAAGAAATGGTTCATAGAGGATTCTCACTGGATGCATCTACTTTTTCCATTTTACTTGATTCATCTGCTAAAAATCAGAACAATCCTTCATTACCAATGTTGATGCTGAAGATTGATCCCGATAGCAAGAAGTTCATGGATGGAGGACAAAGAGGACCTTCACATTAGTTGCAACATGTTGGTCCTGCTGTTTTTTGGCCTTGAGCAAACATTAATTAGGTTTGCATTTGATCCTGTTATTAGTTATCATGTTTGTTGCAACTGAGCCTTAGTGGAGCTCTCTTGGTGATAGTTTGTGAAACACCTCAGAGATCATCAGTCTGGTGGAGAAGCCGCATTCCTTAGGGAGGTTCAATTGTTTGGTGTGGCAATCCACAGAATTTGGTGCAATTAAGTGGATTTGTACTCCTTCTTTTCAAGACTTCTTGTTTGTCCTTTCATGGAGAACCTCAATGTGGCATATCACTTAAGTGATAACTTGAACAGGCTATTTTTCTTCATTTTTCCTGGGCGTTGGTGCTTTAGCTTGCCTGTTAAGTTCAGTTTGGATAGCCACTATTTGAATTTGTTGAAAGTAAAGACTTAAATATCATCTGCAAGTATAGTTTGTGATATTCTATTTCTAGAAAAGTTTCAAGCTGTATTTCTATAATTTTGAGGAATTTTTTTCATTTAAGAATGATAAAATTGCTACTTTTACTTCAATTGCTAAACGGACCCAAATATGCCACCAGTTCAAAAGTGTAAAAACTTTCTAGACTAGCTTCTTGCTTTGGGTTCATATTTTGAGGTCCATAGGCATGTCCATTTATTTTTTCACAACATTTGACAGAATCTGAACTTTTCAAGTATGCTCCAGGAAAAGGTATTCTGATTATTTTCCCCTTTAATTGTCAATGCTGTGCCAAATTATATAGATATCCTGTAGAAGTGTGGCAAAATATCATTCTCTTGCAATAACTTGAAATAATTCATCCAAGAAACTCTCTCTCTCTCTCTGTCTCTCTCTCTCTCTCATATATTTCTCCTCATACATAAATCCATTTGTGTGTTTGGTTGTTCATTAACAATATACTTGATTATGGGATTCTTCAAGATTAATATTTGGTTGTTCCTAAGTTGCAATGGTAACTAAAGAAAGGTTTTTATTGCAAAACTGTACTTTCATTTGATCACCATCTGCAATGGTTAAAAAAAAAGGTCGGTAATAATATAATTGGTCTAGTCTAACAAACTTTGTATCTACCAGTTTCCTTTTTCTTATTCTTGTTCTTTTTGGATTGAGCAGGAGAGGGGTGGAATTTGTATTGCAGAGTGTGAAGATTTGACATCAGCTCAGACTGGATAGAAACAATTAATCAGGTATTAAAATGTATGGAAATAGTCATCATGAATTTTATATGTTAGAAATCAGTTAAAGCAGTTAAAACTATTTCTTAATCACTCTTGGGAACAAATCCTATGGCTCTATAATTATGTTTTTTTAAGTATCTTGTGATTAAGAGTGATGGATTATTTCTTTTGGCTGTGGAAGAAGTAAACTGTCTAGTAACTTATAAAACAGCATTAAGAATTGATCTGTTGTTGATCTACCATGTAGCTCTTCTGATGTAGATTTTATTTGTAGGGTTTTGATACTGCATGCACTAGTTTGCAATGGCGACATGTGTTGCAAAGAGAATGACCGTAGCAGGTTTTTGGGTGCTGTTAAGAAGAAGAAGTCTTCTTGCTCATGTTTTTGTCCTATGGTGGGGATTTCAATAATGCTTTCTGGTTAGTAATATGCCACATTCAGCTTAAGTCTAGCTCAGAAGGTATTATGTTACCAAACTGTCGTCACATGCATGGAGTTAAGTTTCCATTGAATTTGTGCTAGTTTAAAACTCAATTTAGCACATCTGATAGACGATTTAAAAAAAATGAAAAACATATCGAAATGAATCCAGAATGCTCCCACTTCTAAATATGAATGTCTAGATTCAACACAACTAGGGATAGCCCTTACCTTTTTTTTTTTTTTGATTAACCCATTGTGTAATCTTATTGAGGATGAGAGATATAGTGAGAGGCTAAAATCAAGTTGATTCAATTTCACAGGGAACGTGATTTGTATTTAGGTTATTAATATTTAATCTCTTTCTTTCATGATTGGGATATAGTACGTATCGGGTAAAAGCTGTACGGTTCCCTGTTTTGATTCAACGTCCATTGATTGCTATCTTACCATCCTCAGATGGACGAGTTTAAACCGCAAAATTACTTCAAATCACGTCGTACATAACATCAGTTTAAGTAGGGTTCTGAGAATTTTAAGTGCAGGTCTTAATTTATTCTATTTTTATTTTTTGGTAACAAACATTTAAGGACAAGTCTTGCATTGAAATCTTATGAATGTGTAACTGAACATGCAATAGAACAATCTAAAAACTTCTTTCTGTGCTTTGTCTTTTTCTAAATCTCTTCTGTTTTATATGCTTTGAAATCATGTTGATTGGAAAAGATACTATCCTACAGACAACTTAATCATTGGGAAACAATAAAAGTTTTTTTCTAATAGCTTATGCAGGAGCGTTTCAAATTTTGTGCAACAATACCCAAATTGTAAGATGAAAAAACTAATATTTCTGAATTCAGAGAAAAAAGTTTGTGATAAAAATTTTCTGTTAACGGGATTTTTCTAGTAGTAGCGTCTATTCTCTGTAGCTAGTTTAGTTTGCTGAAGAATTACATCACAATATTCGTTCGTACTGTATGCAGTACATTAATTTACTGGAAAAAGATATTCAGTGTAGAATGGAAATACTGAATGCATATCATGAATACTAGTAACCATTATTTATTATTGTTTGATAAGGTACTATTGGTCACTGGGGTGGAAATGAGAGATATTTGTTGCTTGTGCCTGTTTTTATTGGGCTTGATTTGCAATGATAACAATGACCTTTCAGTGATTGTAAATATTTATTTGTGCCTACAGCACATGTCCTGGAGTACCTGCTTGAGCATTGCAATCTGAAAATCGTTCACTGAGATTTGAAGGCTGGAAACATCCATCTGGATGATGACATTGCAGCTTTCTTAGTGGTTACAAAACTACCACATCACAACTCAAATCCAGGGAACCATGGGACACATTGCCCCTGAATAACTGTAAAGCCTTTGGAGATGACAGATGTATTTGGTGTGACTCTTGCACAACTTGTAACCTGTCAGTCTGCAATATTTCTGCTTGAAGAGGAGGAGGACGTACTATTGCTAGATAAGGTGAGTAATTCCATTCTTTCTTGAAATCCAGACAGACTCGTTCTGCAATATGGCTATAACTCAGGGTTTTGTATTCCTGTTATAGTCTTCTGCGCATTATGAAACAGGTAAATGCCTTGATTCAGTGGTGTTGGAATATTTAAACTTGCTTAATTGATCTATTTATTTAGCTTTGTGTCGAAGTTTTACACTATTTTTCTTGTGTCAAAGTGTTGTCAGTACTCTTGTGCAATTGCAAACTAATCTGTCTTAGGCAGACTTCGTTTCCTCCTTAATTTGTTAGTAGGTCCATTTCTTGAGTTGGTTGTCTCTAGTTTCAATTCTAATTAGAAGTTTCTTGTGGTGTTTGAGTCAGTTATCTTGCATCCAAACTCTTTCAGACTTACTGCTTTTATCTGCTACTATGGCTGCTACGATTTTGTTCAAGAAGAGAGTATACAAGAGAGAACCTCCATGTGCAAGCACTGAATTGCATTTCAAGGAAACACCGATCTAGATGAACTTTCGTTTATCTAGATGAACTTTCGTTTAACATCCAATCCAATGCCAACTTTAATTTAAAAGAGCTTTACCCTGCCATCAATTCAATTGTGATGCTAGACCAAACCATTTGGGAATTAAATTCAAGTTTAGTTGGATGTTGAACCAAGTTCATCTGAATCGGAGCAAGAATGGATATGCAATGCCTTTTTGGAGAACTTGAGCTGTCCTATGATTTATCTTCAATAGTGCCACCAACATCACCACCACCTCCTCCACAATAATTTTCTGCTTGATTGGATTTTCTCAAAAGTGCAACTTGATTTTTTATTTTTGCTGTATGCTGCCTTATGTATATTTCATGCAGTAGCCTGAACTTAGTATTTTTTTTCTGTTGTTATATGCTGTTTCTTCCTTTCAGCATTTAGTTCTCCAAAAGGATCACCTTTCACAACCTTTTGGATTCTCGTCATTTGTGGCTGTAGCTCTAGAGTGTATCAAGTACTCCACCATTTAGTAGTTTGTTTCTTTGGCAATTATGAGTTCTGGAATTTTTTTGGTATATATCTTCTACTTCGAGGAATAAACATCTTCTGCAAATAAATTGGCACTCCTTGCCACCAAACCAAAAAAACTTGTTGGTCTGCCTGTTGGTCAGTACATCCTGGATGTGTTCTGGTTTTGCCTCCTACATATGACAGAAGAATCATTGAATGTTTAGCATTGCACAATCTTATGAATTGCTTTTTGCACTGCAGTACTACTTTCTGAGTTCTTGTGAAATTGACAAAAGCTAAGTTATTGGTATATGATTTGTGTCCTTTACAAATATTATGCCAGCTTAGCTCCAAAAAAGTCCATAGAAGAATTCTTTTCCACAGAACTCGTTAAACTTCACACTAGCATAAAGCAAACTCCCATGATTATGTCTTTAGCTTTAAGGTCATTTTATCTCTCGTTCGAATTGATAGGAAGCTTTGTCAGGCATTTTCATCAATTTGTCATCTATTAGATAGACAACTAGCTAAGACTTATTGTGAATTACAAGATGTGGTAGAAAGAGATCAGAATCATAAAATTAGAAAAATTGATGAAAGTATTCAGGGAAAAAAAGTTTGTTGAGGGACTTTCCTTGTCTCTATTCCTGATATAGATGGTCTCAGTTGATGCTAAGTAAACTCCTTGCTGTGTCGGACAAATAGATGTGTTTAAATTGGTCAATAAGTTACTCTATGGTTGGATTCTGTCCTTGCATACTATTTGTTTCTATGTAAATTTGCATATTTGCGGAGTGTGTGCCAGGGATGATGTTAAGTATCCATGGACTTGTGATCAATCTCCAGAGCAAGAAGTTGCTGAAAGAGAAAAGGCTCGAGGACACCGTGGACAAAATCTTGCATGCTTTTGATGCCAAAGATATTGAGACAATCTTTTAGGTTGTGTTGCTTTGCACCCAAAGCTATCCAGAACGCAGTCAAAAAAGGCAGAATTTATAAGGACGCACCAAGGAGTGGGATTATCTGTGGTATCGGTAGGGTTGGAGCAGCTTGAAGAAGAAAGATATCGGGAAGTCTCCCTCGTGTCCTAACAGTTTTGTTTGGGCTGATGAATCTGCACAAGATCAAAAAACTATTCAATTATCGCAGGCAAGGTAGGTCCTTTGGAGCGCAATTTGTATGCGAGATCATCAGTGGCCTGTATACCAAGTTAATGAAAAACCTCTGTAATTCTCACTCATTCAACTACTATTTCATAAGTAAACTACCCAGGGCTTGGAGCTGGAATTTTGTACGACTCTGTCTAATTCAACAAGGCTGTATTGTGCATAAGATATAGGTATTTTTTTAAAGTAGGAGTAGGACTTCGTGCCTATAGCTCAAGACTAATTTATGTATTATGTGAAATTTTGGTGGAATTTTCCGGTATACGTTAACAAGTTGGACATTAATTATCTACCTAGGATTTGTAAATTATTTTACTAAAAAACAAGGAAAATATTTCAATGTAATCTTTTGTGATACAAATAATACAATGAAAACAAAAAAAAAAAAAAAAAATGGGATGCTGCCTTGTGCAGGGAAAAATCATGTACTAATGAGGTCATGACATTCACACCTCAGTATCTGGCGGTATAAGTTTGAGATGAAAAATAGTTAGACATCATAAGTTCTTTACCGATGCAAAAGGAGGAGTATTAGTTCCTTGCACTCGTTAACTTTGAAAACCTAATGAACAAAGGATGCATGTGTTTTACCAATGTTTGTTGCATATCTGAGTCTTTCAATCAGCTAATTACTCAGAATATCGTTGAAAAAAAGAAAAATCGGACACATATGGATCTAACAAGGGTGTACTGAAAGGCAAATTTTTTTTTTAAAAAAACTCTGGCACTGCTGCCAGCAGAATTCTGCAAAAAGCTTATGATCTTTTGGCAGCCGGCAGTCCAATTTTAAAAAAAAAAATTCATCTTTTTGTGTGACAGATGAGGGCAGTGCCAGAGTTTTTTTAAAAAAAATTTGCCTTTTTGGCTGTCCGGCAGCCATAATTTTGCAGTACACCCTTGTCAAATCCAACCCGGCAGCCATAGTTTTGCAGTATACCCTTGTCAGATTCATATGTGTCCGACTTTTCTTTTTTTCAATGATATTTTGAGTAATTAGCTCTTTCAATCAAAGACCATATTTTTGTCAGGCATTCTTTCACATTAACTCTTCCAAACATCCAAAAACTACTTAAAATCACTCCATAAAAATACAACAAAAATGTTCCAAAATATCCACCCACCCACATATCAACATCTTTTTTCCTATCAACGATCAATCCCACCTCCCTTCTATTCGGACACCTATCTCCTCCCTCCTCATCAATTGTCATTTGCCACCAGTCTACTCTCTCCAACCCATCTCCCACCTCTTACCCCTCATCTCCCCACCCTTAGCCCACGGCCCATTTCCCTCTCTTTTCATGTACTTGCCATCCCTCTTATTGTCTTCCTTTCCCAATTTCGTATGGCTGTCAAGTATGTTTTGAGTGGCATGCTTGATTGAACAGAATTTATTATCAATTTTTGAGTTTTATCAATTTTGTATTATAATGAGTCAATCAAAGGCTGAATTTCATTCTCTAATTTCCGTCAAATGTTGTAATTTTATTACTCTTCTAATAGCCTTTACATCCTTCAAACCAACATTTGTATTAGTTTCAATGTGATTTAGAGTCATATTAGTTGTTGATAGAAGTGCACAATTATAACTTCTCATATCTGATCTAAGCTATCGTACAAAGACTGTTAGCCTATTTTTATTTAATTGGAGCAAAAAATCAAGGGGCGGGCAAACAAAAAATTGAGTTATGGAGGTCGGTTGCAATTGATTCAAACAGTGTTGTCTAAAGTATATCTGCACTGGTATAGTGTGTTTATTTTGCCTAAAACATTGATTAAAAAAGTGAATAGTTTACTGGCTTCATTCCTTAGGGCAGGAGAGATTAAGCAGATGTATGGTGCTAAAGTTAGATGAAAGGAGGTGTGTGCACCAAAACAGGAAGGTGGCTTGGGATAATAGAGTACTGAGCTATGGAACAAATGTTTGATTATGAAGTTAATATGGAATACCGGTTCAGTAGCAAGAAGGAGAATCAGTCACGATGGGCTGTTAAGATACCAACAGATGCATCCACGGTTTGGAGGAAAATATTGCAGATTAGATAGTTGGTTCAACCCTTCATCCGACACATTGTGGGGAATGGAACCAAAGCCAATTTCTGGTTTGATACATGGCATCCCCTTGGGCCATTGTATAAAAACTTCACAGGCAACCTCCTTTACAACTTTGGATGCAAACCAGTTGCCTCTGTATCATAAATTATAGTGAATGGATGGTGGGGATGGCCTATAGGAAGGAAAGAAACAACAAAGGTAAGTGAGACTAAAAGATGCCACACCTGATGATTTTGTTCCCTTGGTGGAGTCTGAGGACCAGATTGTGTGGGAACGATCCTCTACTGGTATTTTCAATACTAAAGCTGCCATGAAGATATTACGTGGTTCAGGGGTAAAAGTGACTTGGGAAAATATGGTTTGGGGTAAAGGATTTGTCCCGAGATATGCTTTCACTCTTTGACTAATATGTAAGAAAAAACTGTCTACACTTGACAGACTGCGAAAATGGGGAGTTTCCCTAACTTCTAGCCTATGTGCACTCTGCAAGGGGGAGGAGGAAGCCATATATCACTTATTTTTTAACTGTTGTATGCCAAGACCGGTATGGACTAAAGTGCAAAACATGTGCTTGGTATATCGTGGGTCATATACTTGGGATGTGGAACTTTCATGGCTTGCAGCTCATTGGAGATCAAATTCCTTTGCAGATCAGATGAGGAGACCGGCCTTGGCTACTGCTGTTTATCATGTTTGGAGACTCAGAAATGAAGTGATTTTTCAGTTGAAACCTGCTACATGCGATAAACTTCTAAAGCCTGTTATCGAAGCAACTTGTGTTTTGTAGTTAGTAATTAGCCAGGCTTTCCTAAAACATGTCAAAATTTGGGAGATTGTACTCGAGTGGGGAGTGGACTGGAAATGTTTGTCAGTATAGAAAGAGAATGATACAAGGGGCCTGAACGGGCCCTTGTACTCAAGTATAGGAAAACCGTACCGTTCGGGGTGATTTTGTGCAAAATGCACATGGTGTGACTCATTTGCACCCTATGTAAGTCACTCTCGCCGACGTGTAATTGTAGAATAAAATTTTATGGACCCCAAACATGGTGTTAAAAACAAGATATAAGATAAAATTTGGATTTTATATTTTTTGGATCAAATCTTGGCCATGAACCTTCCTACAACTATTCCTACTCCTGTTCCAAGAGAATGGTATACTGTAAATAGTTAGTTGGTGGATGAGAGGCGACTGCCATGTGTACAAACTTTCATTACATCAATAAAAGTTTTTATTATTCGCCAAAAGAAAAATATTCACATATCTGCAATCGCTTTCAAAAAAATCTCTAACCAAAAAAAGAAACTATTGTCAGAAGAAAATTATCTGCTTGATTTTTTAGAGGCTTGAAAATTCAAAATTATGTACTCATTTTAAGTTCTAAAATAATTGTGTGTGTCTATGTACACACACATATATATATATATACTCTTATTTCAATTAAATACTTTTTTTTCTAGGTAACATGGCTAATGAAAGAGAATTGATAGGGGTCAATAGATGCTTGAATTTTACCCATTTTTATATCTAACTCTTCTCCAATCAATTTATTTGTAATTTCTGCGTTTCAACAAAGTTCTATCTCTTCTAATAAATATGGATTATATAATTCTGAGACAATAGATTGCTTGCTTTTAATTTATGACTTTAACTAATGTTTGAGGGTCCATGTGTGAGTTTTGAGATATGGGTCTCGGAAGAATAAAAGGGATTATAAAGAATAAGTCAAACCACAAGCTAATTCATCAATCAAGAAATGCAGAATGCAGGGATAAAGGGGCAAATAAGGCAATGGAGAATGAATAAAAACGAGCAGCAGCGAGAGTTCAAATTCTTTGGAAAAGAAGTTGAAACTCCAGAATACTCGAGGGTCAAATCCCCCCCTCCAATCTAGTTCTCCTTCCCATTTATAACCCCTTTTCTATGGCTTTATGTCATTCTCGTATCATTTCAGTATCATGCTGCATGTTTTTCATTTCTTTACCCTTTCTTATTGGATCGTCTTGCACTAGCTTCCATGTGCTAAGATCTTTTTGGATTAACTGGTTTTGGACTCCAAGTATGGTTTTATTGCAACCGCTTTTATTTGCTAGTGCCACTACAGTAAAACATCTATAAATTAATATTAGATAAATTAATAATCTCTATTAAATAATAATTTTTTTCGTTTCTGACTTGGACTAACGAGTTAAATTAATAAATTCGTTAAAATAATAAAACAATAATTTTTTTTTTTAAATCTTACATGACCCTTTGGTCCCATTAATAGTTCACTAAAATTACATATCATATTTTCCTAAAATATGAGTCTACTATTAATTTTTTCTTGAAATTTAAAATCTACCTAAATCTCATCCCTAAATTTTCTTATTACATCTAAAATTTTGAATTCTTGCATTTTAATAAGAAATTATGAAGAGTTATTGATGCTTTGAGTATTTCGTTGCACGTAACAGGCTCTAAAGTTATTGTATCATCCTCAACTTAATCATTAGCAGCATTTCAGTGATGCTAGCAACAATTTCTTCTAAAGACCTCTAAACTTGTATAGTTTTCACCCGACTAATCTAATAAGTAATTTACATCCATGTTATTACGAGGCAAACGCTTGGATGAACCCGGTCCGTGGCCCCACCCATGTACGTCACGGTTTTTTGTAGCAAGTTTACCGCACTGATGCTTTCTTCTATTGTTAGCTAACTAACGATTGGATTAAACAGCATTCCCCTCAGAAATAGAAAAGGCAGGCAACAAGAAAGTGGAAACTTTCATTCTTTGACTTCCTTCGAAAATTGAATTCAATAATGCAAAGCAACTTTGAGTGCATCTTCAGCAAACAGCAACACTACTACACAACTAGCGGCTCGAATACGAGCTCGACTCGAGCTCATCAATATCGAGCTTGAGTCGAGCTCGAGTTAATTAAGTCGATCTCGAGCTCGAGCTCAAAAATATTAAACTCCGCTCGCGAGCTCAATTATATATATTTTTTATTTTTTATTTTTAAAAATAAAATAATAATAATAATTTTTTTATTTTTTAAGCTCGAACTCGAGCTCGAGCTTGATATTTTGACCTCGTCGAACTCGAACTCGAGTTCGAACTTCACAAAATTAACTCGAGCTCAGCTCGATTAGCCAAAGCTCGACTCGAGCTTGGCTCGTTTGCACCCCTACAACCCAAGCTTCCAGACACCCAAATTTTGAATTTGAAATGCAGAACACAAACT